ACAAGGTCATTCAGGCCTCTCCGGCGGGCAGTTACCACCTACAAGCTATGGATGACAGTGGAATCATCCTCGCTCGATGGTGGAACATTCAGAACCTTCGCAGGTTCTACGTTTAAGTCTTTTGTCTGCTACTTGCTAGTTTAGGCTATTTGCTTTATTTGCTTTACTGCTTTTACTTTCTCATATGTATTGCTAAACCGGGTCCTTGGGTAATTATTCAATAAACGTCATTGCATATTTTCTTATTTTGTCGACATTATATTGAGACTAGTCTTCGAGATGGACTCCTTCTTTAGGACCATCCTTGTTCAGAGTCATGTATTCAATATTCGACAAAAACCGAGAAATTCCCCTCGTACCCACCGTAGATCGCGGTAACAAATCGAGGAACTCGTACCTAGTTCCCTTGAGAAAGCCGTATACTTAACATCCGGCTGAAAAGTGCTATACAAATAAAAAAACTCGAGTTTTATAAAGCAATTATACATTTGCTGCCTTCACATATTGTGCGAGGTTCTAAGGAGAACATACATGTTTTTCAACAAAATTACAAGGATTTTCGTGCTGGGGTTGTCAGGAGACGGGTGGATAATGACCTTAAACCCATGCAGGCTAAGAAGATTACGCACTAGTTGAGCTTATCCTTGAGATCTATAATCTCTTCATCCTGAGAATGAATCCTTGAAAGGAGTTCCTCTCGAGAGGTCTTGGTTCTTGGATCTACCACCTCTTCGGGCCTCTCGAAAGGTAGGAAGTTGACATTGCAATCCAACAGTAAGTTCTGAAGCTCGCTTATGTATCCCATCAGGAGCTCGACTTTGCGAGTTCTTTCCTTCAGCATATCCATAACCGAAATAAAGCGACGCGTTCTTATTGAGATCTTGTGCTACAGTCAAGCAAGGACTTGATGCTTCTCCAGAAACGGTAATCTGTTTGCCCTGTTTCACCGGGGCATTTTCTTTTTCCAGAGCAACAAGTTCATCATGGATGTCCGTCTCGAAAGTTAGAGAATCAGTGAAGTTTTTATCTTTCTGATACTCTCCTCGTTGCATTTCCACACAGAGTTCTTTTATTTTCTCGATCAGATGCTGGTTGACTTTCACGTTGCGCGCTCACATAGCATCGAGAAGGTCCGCTTCTAAGTTCACTACTGTCTCGATACTATGGACATCTGCGTGACTTCTCATAAGATCGCTAATCATCGAGTATAGAGGATATCCCCTCGATTGTTCCTTCGACAAAATCATGAGATAGATTTGATGAACCGACCAACTATCCTGTTTTTAGGAAAAATGAAAAGGCCAAAATTAGACTTGGAAGGCAAGACAACATGACATTCATTTAAAGGACAAATAAAAACTTGAATTATTTACAGAAGGGATTGTTTAAGTCCCTAGTAGCTATTATAGAGGGAAGAGTTCATACAACTTCTTGTCCAGCAGAACCATCCTTGGGATGACTCGGAGATGTCTATCCGGCGTTCTTTTGCACGCCCGAGTTGCTTGTATTAGCCACGTCTTCCCTCGAAGCCTCATCATCTTCTTCCTTGAGCTCGATGCCGATATACTCATCCGGCACCTAAGGGATTGACTCCTCATCGCTTGGGCCCTTGGACACGAATATGGCAGGATCACTAGGAAACATGGCCATATCTTCAGGAGTACCCATCTTAACGAGGGCTTCGCACAGAGCCCCCCATAAAGGCAGCTTCTCGCTACTGAGCTTCGTGAGGACCTTTACCAATGCCTCATACATGGTTTTCTTCGGGCTCTCTTTCAGGAACTGTTTGAACCACTTAGCCTTAATGGGTCTGTCTCTGCTAAGCCTCTTGAGGCCTGCAGCAGCTACTTTGTGAGCTCCATACTCTGTGGCCGCCAAATTGACCTCCTCGATAGCTCCTGCCATGCCACCTGAAGATAACATCCTGAACCAGAAGGTAACACATCATTTGTAGAGGTCCTCTCTCGAGATATACAGATCTGCAAAAGCCCTCAGCTTCTCGTCCAATTAAATATATTTAGCATGCACAGAGGCTAACTCCAGCTCTTTGGCTTGTATCTGCTGATTCCTCTTCTCGAGAGCGGCCTTCTCGATAAGCGCTTGGTCCCTCTCGATCCAAGCCTGGACCAACTCATCCTTTAAATTCCTTAAGTGCATCAAGTGTGCCATCGAGGTCACAGTCATCTGTAAAATTTAGCGAATGAAACAAAGTTCGTCTGCAGGATATTGGCATGCATATTCTCGAGGGATATAAAGTACTTACCAGCGTCACGCTGTCGGTTGCTGTCAGCTGTGCAGCATACTCTTTCAGCAAGGGCATTCAATGGTTGGAGGATCGCCAAAACATATGAACTGCCACTGTTGGTCCTCCCTCGAATACACGGGACAGCAGAATGGTTGCTTCCTTCTCGAGCGGGCCCTTCCCAGCCAGAGTACCACTACCAAGCTGGCAGTGTAAAACCAAACTTCGTCATATAGAGTACAAGATCATTGTGAGTTAATTTAAACATTACATAGGAATATAATTTGTTTTGGTATATGACAAAAGTATACAAACAAAATAGCTTTTTTTTCGTTAATAAAGAATTTTCTCATGTGATACCCATAAAAATGGTTTTGTTCGAATTTCTTGCGATGGTAGAATGTGTTTTAAAGGTTTGCTCAACTAACAAATTCATATTATATATTTTGGAATAAAATGTAATTAACTATATGTAATTTTAAGTAAGTTACATTATGAAATTATTTTTCCCTATTTCTATAACCCTTCTAGAATATGAATTGGAAATTAACCCCACATATGCAGGTGAGTTATGTTAAAGTCGTTATTCAATTTTGTTAAAATTTCTTTTAAACTAGAAAACAAGTGAAATGTCTCACATTGAAAATAGTAGTCTAATTTAATCAATATTTATAAGTTTTATGAACTACTCTCTTCTTTACTGATCGGTTTTGAGGTGAAACCACATATATATGTACTTACATGGACTTTTAAAAGTAAAATTTTTTTATTCATTTAAGACTTACGAGTAAAGCTTAATTTTGATTTCACATGTGCTTCCAAATTTTCAACCACATATGTGAATGTTTTAAGCACTTAATCCTTTACGTTTGAATTTTGAAGTGCTAGCCAACTTCATGTAAGGGAAACATGAGCTAAACGAAGGGAGCTAGCTTAACAAGAAGAGAATTAACATGGTGGACACATATTATTTTATATGACAAGTTACATTCTAATTCCTTTTTTTATATATAGTACTATAAAAAGAAACAAAAATGCTAAATACACTAAAAAAATTCTCCCTGTCCACAAAAAAAAAAATTCATATTGAAATTTAAATTTCTACTGTTTGTAATATAAATTAAAGAATTCAATGCGAATTTATTTTATATAAATTTAAGAATTCAATGTGAATTTATTTTAAGAACAAAATAAATAAAATGTAAATTATTTTTAGTACAAGCTAATCATTAATGATCAACACGGACAATATCATGCTTAAAGCAACACTATGCCACCTTCGGTACGTGAATTCCGAATAAAATGCTTGAAACACCTAAAATAGAAAATGGAAACAAAATAGCCGGAATTTGATTAGATTTGTGTCGGTTTCTTGGGAGGATTATACGTGTATATATTATGTTTAATCTTTACATTTTTACACACACAAAATAAATACATAAGAAAATAAAAGGAGGGCTTCGGTCATAACCTAAATGAAACTCTATTAATCTAATTATCCTTTGTAGTTTGTATAATATAAATTTAAGAATTCAATGTGAATTTATTTTAAGAACAAAATAAATAAAATGTAAATTATTTTTAGTACAAGCTAATCATTAATGATCAACACGGACAATATCATGCTTAAAGCAACACTATGCCACCTTCGGTACGTGAATTCCGAATAAAATGCTTGAAACACCTAAAATAGAAAATGGAAACAAAATAGCCGGAATTTGATTAGATTTGTGTCGGTTTCTTGGGAGGATTATACGTGTATATATTATGTTTAATCTTTACATTTTTACACACACAAAATAAATACATAAGAAAATAAAAGGAGGGCTTCGGTCATAACCTAAATGAAACTCTATTAATCTAATTATCCTTTGTAGTTTGTATATAAAAGAAGTAACCTCTATCTCTAGAGTTTTCTCGAATTAACTCGCCCAACCAAATTTGATATGTAGATCATGTAATGACAATACCCTAGTACGTTGCTTATAATATTATTTTATATTTACATACATATCGTAGAGTATCAAATATCAATATCAGTAACTAAATTTTGCTGATCATAAGCATTACAAACACAAATTACAATTAAGAATAAATGAGTATTAACATAACCCTTTCGATTAACTTATTTAAGTTTTACTAAAAAATGATCGCCTTTGTAACATGTATGACCAACACGGCCTGCCGATTGGACATGTAATAGACCACCAACTAATTGTGCCTAAATTAATTAAACACAATTATAAGAGTAAATAATGTCTTGATTAATTCTAAAAAAAGATTTTACTGCTTTGGTTATTTGATTAATTAGTTTTTGCTACCGGGGTAATCCATAATGTCAAATGGAACAATGGGGGACGTCCGAGTAGCATTGCACACGAAGCCTTATCTTGTAGCTCGACATTGGATAACGAATTATCATGTACTTTCTCGATTACTTACGTAATAATAAATCGTTGTAGAAAGTTGAATAGGTGTAAAATTTTAACTATTCGTGATTATATTAATATTAAAAGTTATACCATTATTATATACGAAATCAAGAGAATAATTTATATTTTTCGGCGCAAAAAATAAAAAATTTACCGGTAAATAGATTATATTATATATTATATCTTTCTGCTTTCTTTCTTCTTCTTTTTTTAGAGAAAAAACAATATCAATATCTCAGGTCTCATCCTTTTCGTTCTACTATAAAAGGCCACCTCTACGCACCATATTACACCTCTCTACATCTCTTCCACACCTCTCTTTCATTCAACTTTCATAAGAGTGAATGAACAAAAAAATGGAGCTGATGGATTCTTCCACTATTTTCTCTATTATTCCATTGATTTTGTTCATCTTCTTCTTGTTCAACAAATTGTATTCTTCCTGTAAACATCCCAAACTCAATCTTCCACCCTCTCCACCGAAGCTGCCGATTATCGGAAACCTTCATCAACTCGGCACCTTTCCCCACCGCTCACTCCAAAAATTATCAGCAAAATATGGCCCCATGATGCTTATTTACTTGGGGAAAAAACCAGCTCTCGTGGTCACTTCAGCTGATGCAGCTCGAGAAATCATGAAAACCCACGATTTAATCTTTTCAAACAGGCCGAAACTAAGCACGGCCGATCGACTCCTTTATGGGTCGAAAGACGTGGCTTTTTCGCCCTATGGAGATTCCTGGAGGCAATTAAGAAGCATCTGTGTTCTTCAGCTTCTGAGTAACAAAAGGGTTAGGTCGTTTCGCGACGTTAGAGAAGAAGAAACGACGCTTATGATCGAGAACATATACAGAAAACTCTCGTCGCCATCTTCTTTGTTGAACTTGAGTGAGGTATTTGTGGATCTTACGAATGATATCATTTGTAGGGTGGCTTTAGGGAAGAAATACGGCAAGGAAAAAGATGGAAAAAACGTAAAGGTAAAAATGGCGGAGTTTATTGCTTTAATGAGGGATTTTTGTTTGAGTGATTATGTTCCTTGGCTTGGTTGGGTAGATAGGTTGAACGGTATCCATGAGAGGCTGGAGAAGATAGCTAAAGAGATTGATAATTTCTTGGAGAAAGTGATTGAAGAGCATAAGAAGAAAGAAAAAGTGACACAATCACAGCATCACTTAGGTAACGTGACTGATGATCAAAATAGTGATGAGGCAAGAAACTCAGATTTTGTGGACATTCTGCTTGAACTTCAGATGCAAAACGTGGCTAATTTTCCAGTGGAAAGAGATACTCTCAAAGCCTTAATTTTGGTAAGAATTTCTTCTTTCCCCTTCCCATTGTTAGTCACATATATATTTCATACTTCACGAAATGATTCTCTTCTTTTTGTTTAATCTTTATCCATTAAAATAATTATTTTGGAACACAAATACTACACAATTTAATTCATATTCTTCTGTAAAAAAGTTTTACAATTTTTTTTTTTCTTTTTCCCTTTTCGTTTTTTCTTTTCTTCCTAAAACTTGGCTTGTCTACTTCACGAAGCTCTTTTACTTTTTCCAATATTTGAGGGTATTTTCTAAACTATAGTTTTGGATAACACCTAAATCTCACAAATCAAAGTTTTGTAAATGAACGTGAAATATAAGAGATAAAAGTCTCTTATTGCTGTTGTAATTGTTGGTATATTTTGAACGGCGGTTGATTTAAGGATAATAACTATTTAGCTTATTATTCCAAACATATTGATGTGGTTTGGTAGTCAGCAACTTTGAATACAGAAACAACCATTATTTCCACGATAAAAATACCAAAAAGTAACAAGAAGAAAAAAGTCACATTTTGCGAAATTTTATACTTTTTCCATTCTAATATATATTATTATATGTTGAACTATTATAGTAAAATAACATAATTTTTATTTTGAAATGGAGAAAATACAAAATACGGTTATTTTCTTATTCTTACAATGAACAAGTTAAAGTTAATAGCAACGAATCTAAATTAATTAATTTTTTAGGATTAGCAAGTTTCTATTATTGTTGATTTTCCCTCCTAATTTGTGGATTATATGAACAAAAATCAGGACATGTTTGTTGCTGGAACTGATACAACACACACGGTTATGGTGTGGGCAATGGCTGAACTTTTAAGGCATCCGAAAGTGATGGACAAATTACAAATCGAGATCAGAAAACAAGGGAACAGTGGAATCAATGAGGACGTTGTAGGCAAATTTTGTTATTTAAAAGCGGTAATCAAAGAAACTTTACGACTTCATGCTCCTGTTCCGCTTCTAGTCCCTCGGGAATCTACTCAAGATGTCAGAGTAAAGGGTTATGATATATCTGCCGACACACAGGTAATCATTAATGCTTGGGCAATTGGAAGAGATCAGCGTTTATGGGATCAACCCGAGGAATTTATTCCGGAAAGATTTTTGGTTGACTCAAATATCGATTTTCAAAGTGTGAATAACTTTGAGATGATTCCATTTGGAGCTGGAAGAAGAGGTTGTCCTGGAATAAATTTTGCAATGGCTGTTAACGAACTTGCATTGGCAAAGTTGCTAAACGCGTTTGATTTCCAATGCCAGGAAGAATTAGACATGGCTGAATCCACAGGTGTCACAGTCAATAAAAAATCATCTCTATATGTGATTGCCACTCCACACTACTCTTGCTAGTCTTCCAGTTAGTTCAAAGAGTTGAGTTTAAACTCTTGGTTAGTAATCACTTGTTATTTTATTGGATCTTGTTTTAGGTTATGTTAAACATGTGTTTTGAATTTCCATTGCTAGTGACCTAGGGAAAAAATGAAAACGAATAATGGTTTGTTTCTCACTATGGTTTGCAAATTATTGTAAGACTTATATATATATATATATATTTACAAATTAAATAAATAAAAAAACTAGTGAGTTTGTGTGTTACAATTTCCATGTTTGTAATTATTGGGAAACGTTACATGTAATGATGTGGAGATACATAACATGTTTCAATTTCATTTTATGTTAAGAGGAACTGTTATTTGGATCAAATCTTTCACCATACCTAATTTTTATAACTAATATTGAACTTAAATAATATAATTTCAAATTTACTTGGCTACTACCATCATGTTTCCTTAAGTTCGGCTTGTTTCAACATTTTTGAATATTTATAGATTACTAGATAGATTAGATGCGCTTCACGCGTATATTATTTAAAATTATGTAATGTAAATTATGAAAAAGAAAAAAATTAATAATATAAATTATAATTTACGTTGTTATCCACTACAAAAAAATGTCAGTACCCACGAAAAATTAGCAATCGTGGGAAATTAGTGGGTATTTACCCACGAAATACCCACGCATTGCCCACGAATGTTTGACTGAAAGTGTTTCCCACGGATTTCCTACAAGATTTCAAACGAAAGAAGATGTGGTGGGTATTCCGTGGGTACGAGTTTCCGGCTATTAAATTCCCCACGAGTTTCCCACCACAGACCTTGTGGGAAATCATACACGAACAGTGGGCAAATTAAATCATCGATGGATTACCCACGAACTGGCTTTGTGGGTACCATTTTCACACGCAAACCGTGGGTTAAACTTTCCTGCCAAATAAACCCTCACGAGTTTTCCCACGCAAATAGCTATGGATGTGCAATAGCATCCGTGGAAAACTTGTGGGAAACTTATATCGCCCACGTATTAACCACAGATTTCTTTAGCGGGTAACATTTCCAGATTTAAACCTTTGGTGAAAGTTTCCCGCCAACAAGCTCCCCACGAATTTCTCACGCGATTACTTGTGGGTAATTACACACGAGCTTTACTCCGAGGGGAACTCGTGGGTAATAGTTATCACCCAAAAAATTCAAATGTAAACCATGTGCGAGTTAAATTACCCACGAGTTGCTTTGTGGGTGAGCCGTGGGTAAGTAAAGTTACTAACGGTATACCCACGACAATTTTCGTGGGTAACTGTGTCGTGGGTAGTTCGTGGGGAATGCATGGGTAAATTTAACCACTCACAGCTTTTGCGTGGGTAATTCGTGGGTAAAATAATTTTAAAATTTTTAAATTTTATTCATAAATAATTTGTATTTAGGCAGTTTGACATAATTATTGGTTAAATTAATATATATATATATATATATATGTATATGAATGTGATATCGATGTATTCATTGTATATTTTTCGTGTAATTTGATCAAATAATGCACTTGATATTAAATTGTATCTAATTCGTACATATATAGATGTTGTCCAAATTGTATGTATGGTACTTATTTTATTATGCATGACAATATATATATATATATATATATATACAAATATAGATATTTATATATAGATATTTATATATACTTCATTTCAAAAAGACTGTTGATGAACTATATAATCATGCATGACGATAGAATATATATTGATAATGTACTTGAAAAAACCTATTAAGACATATATATTGATAAGTTTTGTAATCACATTTATGATTTGATAAGTTGCGATTATACTTAATCAGTATGCAGATGATAATTCGTGAAGGTCGAAATCAATGACCACTCTCCTCTTTTCTTCTCCTCCTCCTCCATCTCCGCCGACCGATGGCTTCCTCCTCCTCCTCCATCCCTGCTGTTCTCATCCTCCTCCTAATTACCCCACAACTCTTGCCTTGATTTGTCACACCGAGATCCGATCCAATTCTCGAGCAATCATCCCCTTCAACATTCATCCAATTCCAGAGATCTGGAACCTGGAACCTCTCCCGACCGTCGGAGAGATGGAGATGTATCCAGCAAGGATGTTACGACCATTTTTCTCAAATTCATCCTCCTCCTCCTCCTCATCGTTGCAAAGGGTGACAATTAATTCTGCCCAAGGGTACAGAACCGCCGGCGCTAAAAGAAAAGCAACCGCTATTAAGGAAGCAGGACGAACAGAGGCAGCTGAGTTTGCTAAAAAATCTGAGGCGACCGACGAAGTAGATGGCAAAACAAAAGAGGCCGCTGCTGCGGCCGCTGCTCTATGTATGAATAAGGTTCGGGATCTTCTTCGGACGAGTTGTCCAAGCCCAAAGGAGAAGAAACGAGGAGTTTTACCTCTTTATTAGCTGAATCTGGGCTCGTGCAGTGTTGGGATATGGTTAAATGGAAGGACTACTTTGACATGATGCGACTCCCAGGTTATTAGTTTTAATTCATTGAACCAAAACGAGCTAATTACCCCGCAGTATCAATAGTCCTTGATATCTAAATTGCTGAGATTGAAATTTTGATATTGAAAGTGATTGATGTGAACATGACATCTGTAGAGTCATAACCAGTAATTGTGGATGGTGTTTGTCTCAAATTTTCCCTTTGGAATGGGTGTCAGTGTTCTGTATTGAATTCAATGGGCTTATTTTGGTGTTATTACTGTTTAAGTGGTTATATAGGTCGTAGAAATGTATTGTTATTCCTTCAATGGATGCATGTTGATATGTTTAAAATTTACCTATTTTTTAATATTCTTTTATGCGAGATTTTGCCAATATTTTGAATATATTTCTACTATTTATGTGATTTTATCTTTAGTTATAGGAATTGTACTCAAATAGAGAAATTATTGGGCTAAAATGAAGATAAAAGCAACTCAAAGGGAGAATTGAAGATTTGATAAATTGACAAGGAAGAAATTAAAGCACTTGAAGAGTTGGAGGATTAAACGAGCAATTTCGGGATTTGGTTTTGAATTTTGACTGATTGGAGCTTCTGCGGATTTTGCCGAAGAAGTCTTCCAAATTGATTTTGGGGTGGCCGAATAAATTCATCCGGAGGAGTTTTATTTTAAAATGGCTTGAAAAAAAAAATTTTCTTATTCCTAAAGAAATAGGGTTTGACGAAATCCTATAAAAAGAGGATTATGGTTTTATTTTTGGGGACCAAGACTTAACCGAAAACCACCGAAGTTGGCCACTGCAATTTTCTCCTCCTGCCGCAGCCCATTCGAATCACCGAGCCTCCACCCTTCTCCAACACCGCATACACCATCAGCCACAAAACCCTTCACCATAAAACCCCCCAGACACCCGACGAACCAAACCACCACCTTTCCACCTTCATCCACCACACGGCCTCATCACCATTGCACCCTACCACCACTACACCATAGAAACCCACGCCTATCTCCCACAAAAAAAAAAAAATCACCTTTTCACCTTTTACGCACTAAAACTCCATCAACCACACAATTCCACGTTCCACTACCATCATCATCAGAAGGGAAAGTATGGACCAAAGCACGCAATCAGAGGAACTTCAAACTTTCGGATTTTTGCCGACTTTTCCCGGGTTTTGCTATTTTAATTATATTTATTTTGACATGATGTATAGCTAAATTATTTAATCTAGGGTTTTAGATGTAGCTGCCGTATTATTTAATTTAATTTAATTCATGATTGTGACTTTTTCATTAGTTGATATTTAATATTCTTGTTTTTATTCTATGTGAGTATTTGATCACCACATGCATGTTTTAAAGGTGTTTAACTGAAGAAACGACGGTTGAAGGTTAGCACTAGTTCATGCGAATATTAAACTTAGATAGTGGGCCACGAAAGTAGGAACACAGTCTTTGCAGTTATAGATTCTAGGGTTCTTAATGTACTCTAATTAAATCCTATAGTCACGACATAGTCATAGGGTTAGTTTGAGTAAGAGATTAATGAAAGTCCAAAGTCACATATTTATAGGATGAGTTAAACTGAGTAGTCGGTAGGTGAACCCTTTTCCCTAGGTTTTCTTTTATTTGATTAATTATATTTAATTATTAGTTTTATGTTTAGTTTAATTTAAAATCATCATTATTAGTTGTCTAAATAATAAGAAGAAAGAATTTTAACCTGGTATTTGGTATTCTTCTCTGTGGGATCGATCCTATTTTCTGCTATATTAGTGTAAGTAGGTAATCTTATTTGACTAGTGCGTGACGACGGCTTGTCAAATTTGGCGCCGTTGCCGGGGAAGGTAGCTAATATCTAACTTAAATTATTTTCTTTTATTAGTTTAGATTTATTTTTATCATTATTTTATTTTATTGCTATCCTGGTTGGTTTTATTTTTGTCTGGTTTTTATATGTGAAGTGGTAATCCTGAGACTTTGCAATTTGATCCAGAAATCGAGAGAACAGCTCGTGCAAACAAAAAAGAGGCAAAGCTAAGGAAAGAGAAGAATCCGAATGACACCATAGGTGATAATGTAAACAACAATTGGAAAGGAATTACTTCACACCAGCTGAAAAGTGTTTCTAGGCCAATTATCACTAGGCCTACTGTTGCTGCCAACAACTTTGAGCTCAAGCCGTCCTTGATCCAAATGGTGCAGCAAAATCAATTCTTCGGATTCAGCAATGAGGATCCAAACGCTCATATAGACAATTTTTTGGAGATCTGTGACACTTTTAAGATCAATGGAGTGACGTTAGATGCAATCCGGATGAGACTTTTCCCTTTCTCATTGAGAGGAGAAGCAAAGAGTTGGTTGAACACCTGTGATCTCGGTTCCATCACAACTTGAGATGAACTGTACAAAGAGTTCCTGAGCAAATTCTTCCCACCAAATAAGGCGGCAAGATTGAGAAATGAGATCATAGGATTTGTTCAAGAAGATGATGAAACATTCCATGCTGCATGGACAAGATTCAAGGAATTGCAAAGAAGATGTCCTCACCATGGTATTGAGAAGAGTACCCTAGTCCAGACTTTCTATCAAGGGTTGACAGAGTTTGCGAGAAATAATGTAGATGCTGCAGTTGGAGGTTCTTTAATGGACAAGACTATTGATGTAGCCTATGATTTGTTTCAGAATATGGCAAAGAATAGGAATCAGTGGTCGAATTCTAGAAGTGTTTCTAAGAAGCCTGCAGGGATGTATGAAGTCAATGATAGTAGTCTCATGAA